CAATTACCTATGCTCAGCCGCCAAAAGAAAAGAAGCAAAAATAAACCTTCTGCACTTTTTTTTCTTCCGCAGCTTTTCCCCACACACTGTTCCCGCACAAAAAACCCTAGATGATAAACACATAGGTATTTATACATAGTGATGCGGTTATAAAATGAAACTTGGGCCTGCTTTTACCCGCTGGACTCGGTGCCCATAGAGCACACGTGATTTGTGCCAGGCTGGCACACGCACGTTCACAAAAGTGTTTTAAATAAAGGCATATATTATATAATTAAGTACAGGAACGTGTCTGGTACGGGTGCAGCTTCATGATAGAACTATCCGGATAACATAGCTCTGCTACTTTAGTTGCAACCTTCATTGCGAATCCAGTCTTAGGCCATTCAAATTGCAAAATGTCTATTTTCATGTTTGTTTTATAACATTTAGAATGGCAAAAAAAAAAAAAACTACTGAATTATTGTGAGTTTTCTCGTCTATGTTGCATGGTTGTAAGTACTGTCTCAGATGTTTCAATATCTTATAAAATTGGTGTGTGAGATTTAAAGTGTTCAACAGTTTGGATCTCGGTTTATATGCGAAGTAACCATTTTCTTTCTGATATGCTGCTTTTTAGTTTCTCGTTGGATTGCCTTGCTTTGTGATGTATCATCGAGAAAAGTTGAATTGTACGTGTTTTTCATGTTTAGATGCCTACATGTTGTTGATCATATAAATGAAATAGATTTTAGGTTGGAATGGATTATTATTGGTTTTGATGGAAGGTCAGTAGTGGCCAATTTGTTTGCCTTTTACACTCTTGACATTCAGATTTACATGTTATGAGATAAATGAATGCATACTTTTTGAATGAGTCAAATATCTTCTACCATTTTCTTTATAGTATGCTGCTTTTTAGTTTCTTAGTTGATTTCCATTTGATGTATAAACGAGAAAAGTCGAATTGTTTGTTCTTTTCTTGTTTAGGTGCCTAAATGTTGTTGGTCAGATAAATGGAGTGGGTTCAGTTGGAATAGTTTATTATTGGTTTTGTGGGAAGGTTTTACTTCTAGATTTTTCTGGAAGAAACTTTCTCTAAGTTCTACTTTGTAATTACTGTTCTTTTGCCTTTTACACTTTGAGTTGAGAATCACCACGTTAGGATATATACGAATTCAAAATTTTAAATGAGTCAAATATTATTTAAAAAAAAATCCCCTTTGTTGGTTCTTAATGCGAGCATTAACATGTTATAAAAAATGAGTTAAAAATTTTAAAATAGGTCAAATTATCTCAGAAAATTCCTGTTCAGTGGTTCTTAATTTCAGAGCCAACATGTCATAAGATAAATGACTTGAAATGAGAGAAATATATATCTAGAATTATGTGATAGTTATCTGACATGAACATGATTAGTTAAATAACAATGATTATCTGTTGAAAATGACCGTGTTGATGAAAATGGACAAAGCACCATCCTACCTTGCAGATGGGTATACTGAAGCAACTTGCACCTTAAGTTTCGTACTATTGTACCTTGCAGATTGTTATATAAAACAAGGTTTTCCTAGGGAAATTTAGTTTCTTATTATTGTACCTTGCAGATGGATATATGACGAAACATGCACCTAAGAAAATTTAAAATTCTTATTAGAGTGTAAATTACACTACACTCCCGAGAATTTTCAGCGATTTGCAGTAAACCCTCAATTACTTCCAAAATCGCATTGAACCCCCAATAACTTTTGCAAGAAACCCCCAAGTTAACATTGTTACATCTGACATGGCACATGCAACTCACATGACTTAAAATGACCAAAATACACCTAAATTTTGAAGAAAGACCCTTTATGACCTTTTTTATATTTTCAACCCTAAAAACAGAAATCTCGTCTTTTGTCATTTGTTCTCTTGCCCGTGCCTAGGTTGGAGTCCAGGACCCTAATTTTTTTTTGCTGAAATTTTCCTTCAAAATGCCTTTTATGTTGTTTTTTTCCTAATTTATGGGGGTTATTTGCAAAACGCGAAAGCTTAGTAGGGGTTTTCTGCAATCCCAAAAGTTATTGGGGGTTTAGTGCGATTTTGAAAGTAAGTGGGTGTTTACTGCAAAATGCTGAAAGTTCTTGGGGGTTTAGTGTAATTTCCCTTCTTATTATCGTACAAGGAGAAAATGAACAATAAAAGTAATTAATTAATGGCGGCTTATGATTCTTCAATGAAATGAATTATATAAATGTTAGAGGGTGCTTGCCGTGCATAACAAAGAAAGATGGTTCTTTCTCTTTTATCTTGTTGAATAAATCCATGCATTCTTCTATGAAGGACACGGTTTCCCTGAAGTAATTTTTGTTTCCATGAGGCTTTCATGTTTGCAGGATTGTGCCTTTATTTCAGTCCCTTGTGTTGGTATTTCACTCTCTCCAGCATGAGTTGTAGTATTTCATAGATAGAGCTTTTTTAAGTTAGGATATATTGCAGCAAAACTGCCCTACATTGCAGTTCCTTTATTCTTTCCTTTGGCTATTACAGTTTTTAAGAAAGCAGAGTATCTCTTAGAGCTAGTGAATCCTTTAAATGTTATCGCTTTTTCCACATTCTACTTAGATGGAGGGTAATGACTGGAGCTTATTCTGAGTAGCTGTGGAGCAACTAGTATATATAGACTGCTATGAGGCTGGAAGGCCTCCTCAACAAGGATGGTTTTGTAGGAAAGGCATATTAAAAACATCTGGGAAATGTTGAAGAACTATTGTCAATATTTAGGGCAAACTGTTGGCCTTTTGAATCTTTGCATTGTGTTAAGTAACAGTTACTACAAAAAAGCCCAAGCTTATGGATTATGAGCTAACAATGAGTCACAAGCAATTCTACCATCCTAAACTAGATTTGTTTCCTGTGACTCTTCATGTTTGTCTTTCCTGACATCGTTAAAAGTATGTATACCTCTCTATTATCCTTGATAGCTTGAGAGCATGTTGGAGTTGGAGAACTTCTGAATAGTAACACACGATTGTTTGAGGATGTAGATGGGGCTTTTTGAGCCTCGTCTTCTCTTTATTCCTGTTAAGGAATATATTATAGAAATCTATGATATTAGGAATAATATATTTGGAATATATGATTGAGAGATATTAGGGATATGATTGAATATGATTTTATCTCATACCTATTTTGTAATATCCTCCTAACCTCTATTTGAGAGAATTTAGAGTTAGATAAATAACATAATCTTGGACTTTTTCTATTTTTCTACGTGGTATCAGAGCCAAGTTCTTGATCCTAGAGAGACCTCTTTCTTCTTCCTCTACATTTGTTTTCGGATTTTTTAAAGAAGGATCATTTGTTGTTGAATCCTTCAAGGAAGGATCATTTATTGTTGGATCCTAAAAAGAACTATTTATTGTTGGATCCTTAGAAAAAATCATTTGCTGTTGGATCCTTCAAGGAGGGATCATTTGTTGGTGGATCCTGAAAAGGATCATTTGTTATTGGATCCTAGAAGGATTATTTGATTGGTGGAACCCTAGAGGGGATTAGTTGATTTGAAGCCATCCAAGTGAAAAAATAAGAAGGTCAAGTTTACTTCGACGCATCGTCGTATATTAGAGTGTGCACTTTTTTGTAACAAGCTGGACATGTATGATATACATGCTCCACTTTGAGGGGGAGTATTAAGGAATATATTATAGAAATATATGATATTAGGAATATATGATTGAGAGATATTATGGATATGATTAGATATGATTTTATCTCATACTTATCTTGTAATATCCTTTTAATCTCTATTTAAGAGAGGTTAGAGTTAGATAAATAATATATAATCTTGGCCTTTCTCTACTTCTCTACAATTCCTAAGTTGCATGGAAACAGGTACGGGTGTGGGTACAGGACATGGCAAATTTGTAGAATGTTTTTATATTGAAATTAATAGTTTACATGAGATCCTTAATTGTTTTTCAATTCCTGTGTAATTATAATTGAAATTCATGTTACATTTAAAGTTTCTTTCATTATGTTTATTGTCAATTGGACTAGACACTCAAATAACCTTTCAAGATCGTAATTTTGAATTTGGGTATGGGCTAAAACAAACCCGACTCTAGTCTAACAAGTAACGAGTTTCAAAAAAATGATGCGAAGCGTATTGGCTAAAACAAACCCGACCCTAGTCTAACAAGAAACAAGTTTCAAAAACATGATGTGTCTTAAACTAATGTATGCATATCTCCAAGGAATGTCCATGAAGTTTGGATATAGGAACGTGTTGGGTATGTGTCCAGTATGGGTACGGTTTAACTATAGATGTACCTGGGTAACATAGCTTTATTCCAAATGCTCTTTTATTTTGTCTGTAAACTTCAGATCTCTTAGTTTAATTCCTGCAAATGCCATGATTACATTTTGTGAGATCAGAGAGACTATTGGCAAAACATTGAAATTGGAGATCACTAGTCTGATTTTCTGCTATGACATGACATAGCTCAGATGGCTAATTGGAAGGCCAAATTCTTGTGTGCATGATAAAATAACAATAGAGGAAAAAAAGCTAATAGGTTTGAAGAAATTCACTACTTTCGTTTGGTTTACTAGGCTGTAATAACTACTAACAGTATTTATAGAATGACTCACATTGAGAGTTTTCCTTCAGCTTGAGTTATTGCTTTTTCTTTCTTTTATTGTTGATGTTTGTGGCTGAGATATCAGTAAGGCATGTTCTTTCATTTTGGACATGTTACAAGTATGACTTTGCTCAACTTATTAAAGGGACATTTGTACAAACTGATAGTTTGTTGCCAATCCATTTTGCAGTTCTATCACATCATCTGGAATGTCAGACATTTTGTGCATTTATATCGTCGGTTCTTCATTTTGTATCTGCTCCTTTAGTTGCTATTGACTTTTAGTAGCTTTGTCAGCAAGTTATATGTTGTATTGGGCTTATGGCTGATATAGATTTTACAATTGCACCTTTATTTCGAAAAGTATGACCATTCATTGTTTAAAACCTAGTGCAGACTTTAAACCCGGTGAACCAGTGTTGGATTGGCCTACAAGAAAACGTGTAGCTTTGGGAACAGCTCGTGGGTTAGAATATCTTCATGAACATTGCAATCCCAAGATTATTCACCGTGATGTGAAAGCTGCAAATGTTTTGCTTGATGAAGATTTTGAAGCGGTAGTTGGTGACTTTGGCTTAGCGAAGTTGGTGGATGTAAGGAAAAGCTCGGTAACAACTCAAGTTCGTGGGACTATGGGTCACATAGCACCTGAGTATTTATCTACTGGGAAATCATCTGAAAGGACAGATGTTTTTGGTTTTGGGATTACGCTTCTCGAACTTGTTACAGGGCAACGTGCGATAGATTTTTCACGCTTGGAGGAGGAAGATGATGTGTTACTTCTTGATCACGTAAGATCATTCTCACCTATTTTTTGGTTGTCTTCTTTCTTGTGTAAGTAGGTGTTGGTTGGAATTTCAGTGGGTAAAGTGGTAAAAACAATTTCGCTGCAGAAATTTTTCTGTTCCAACCTATATTGGCAACTTCTTAATTTGTTGATTTTGTTCAGGTTATTTGCACCTAATTACCCCAAGTTTACTCTAGTTTTAACTTTGGTACCCCAAGTTTTTTTTTGCCCAAAAAGATCCCCCCATGTTTTGCCTTAATTTTTAACTTTGATGCCCAAGGTTTTCTTTTGCCCAAAAAGTACTCCAATGTTCAAGAAATTCTACCTTTGATACCCCAAACTTAAAATTTTAACTTGATACCCCAAACCTAAAAATAAATTTAACAAATATTTAAGTTACTGTATAAAAGTTAAATATTGTTGGGGTTTGAGTTTTTTCTTTTTTATTTTTTGGGAAAAAGTTATAGTGGCAACTTCTTAATTTGTTGTTTTTGCTCAGGTTATTTACACCTAAATACCCCAAAGTTATACTCTAGTTTTAACTTTGATACCCCAAAGTGCTTTTTTATCCAAAATAATACCCCAATGTTTACCTTGTTTTTAACTTTGATGCCCAATGTTTTCTTTTGCCCAAAAAGTACCCCAATGTTCAACAAAATTTAACTTTGATACCCCAAACTTAAAATTTTAACTTGATATCCCAAACTATAACAAAATTTTAAGTTACTATATCACAGTTAAATTTTGTTGAACTTTGAATTCCTTTTTTTTCTTTTTTCTTTTTTGAAAAAAGGAACTTTGGAGTGTCAATTTTAAAAAGGGGTAAACTTTGGGGTATTTAAGTGCAAATAACCCTTTTTCTTAAATTCAAAATTATGGTTTCCAGTTAAGTAAATATCTATTTTTCAAAAATAAAATTTGCATTCTACTTTTCCCTCAGTAGATGTAGTAACAGCTTAGCAGATAATTTTAGTAGGATAGTGCTGAAGAAGGGACTTAACTATTTGTGCTGTCAGAACACAAAGATATGCAAATATGTGGTATGATGAAAAATGTTATGTTAATGATTAGACAATAGAAGTGTTATAACAAGGCGATCCTTTGATTGAGTAATTGATGTTATCCACTCTTTTGATGTGGTGTTTTGTTAACTAGAAACAACTTTTTCTTCGAATCTGTCAGGGAATCAGCTTCATTTTCTTCTGAACGATAGTATTTGCATCTGAAGAAACTCTTTCACGTCATATTAAAATTCATTACCCTATTCCAATTCTACTAACAATACAACTTCTAATTGATCTTTTACTGATATATTATGTCTCATTCTTGCTTTCTGCTCCAATAGGTGAAGAAACTGGTAAGAGAGAAGCGCCTCGATGCCATCATCGATCGCAACCTGAACAAGAACTATGACATCGAAGAGGTAGAGAAAGTGATCCAAGTGGCTCTTCTTTGCACGCAGGCAACGCCAGAGGACCGGCCTTCGATGTCGGAGGTGGTGAGGATGTTGGAAGGGGAAGGGTTGGCGGAGCGATGGGAAGAGTGGCAGCAGGTTGAGGTCAACCGTCGCGAGGAATACGAGCGCCTCCATCGGAGATTCGATTGGGGGGATGACTCCATTTATAATCAAGACGCCATTGAATTATCTGGAGGAAGGTAACGAATCATCTGTAATGAAAGAGATTTCCACCAGTTTGTTCGCGTGATGTATCATATTGTTGTATGGACGTGTTATCACTGGCAAGCCTTTTTTAATTAGGAAATCCAGTAAATATGTCTTATTTCAAAGTTATATGTTGTTATTGTTATTATAACCTTTATCATTATTTTTTCTTTTGTGTTAATCGCTGATTGACCCCTTCTATTGTCACCTGATTGTGGATAGACCTGTTGGATAGTGGATTCCTAATCTATTTTGGTAACATGAGGTTATTAGGATTCCTAATCTATTTTGGTTTTCCTCTCCTCAAAAAAACTACCCCAATTACCTATGCTCAGCCGCCAAAAGAAAAGAAGCAAAAATAAATCTTTTGCACTTTTTTTTTTTCCGCAGCTTTTCCCCACACACTGTTCCCGCACAAAAAACCCTAGATGATAAACACATAGGTATTTATATATAGTGATGCGGTTATAAAATGAAACTTGGGCCTGCTTTTACCCGCTGGACTCGGTGCCTATAGAGCACACGTGATTTGTGCCAGGCTGGCACACGCACGTTCACAATTCTCCACCTCGTACATCATTTGATAAACCTTAAATTTTGGATGAATACCAGAAGAACACCGCAAGCATCATTAGAGAGATATCCATCGGCTAAACTAGGCCAGACCAGCTGCGTCACTTTACCGCGGCTGCCTACGTACCCTCTACCGGGATCAAACTAACCGTAGTTCTGTAATTGTTCTCCATATAGTCTCCACCTCATCCCATCACCGCCCCGAAGGGCCATGCCTTCTTGGGCAAATCAACAAGGGCTGATATGAAGCAAGTCCAAGCAATGCTTAAACTTGCTACCTGTGACCACCTTGGTCAACATGTCTGCTGGATTCTCATTCGTATGCACCTTCATGAGAGAAATATCACATTCCTCTATGACGTCCCGCACGAAATGATACCTGACATCGATATGCTTGGTACGAGCATGATGAACTTGATTCTTCGCCAAGTGAATCGCACTCTGACTGTCGCACCACAAGTTCACGTTCTCCTGCTCAATTCCCAAATCGTCTAGAAGACCCCACAACCACAATGCTTCCTTCACTCCCTCCGTCATGGCCATGTACTCGGCCTCTGTAGTAGAAAGTGCCACTGTAGCCTGCAACATCGATCGCCAACTAACTGGAGCTCCATGTCTTTATAGTATGCTGCTTTTTAGTTTCTTAGTTGATTTCCATTTGATGTATAAACGAGAAAAGTCGAATTGTTTGTTCTTTTCTTGTTTAGGTGCCTAAATGTTGTTGGTCAGATAAATGGAGTGGGTTCAGTTGGAATAGTTTATTATTGGTTTTGTGGGAAGGTTTTACTTCTAGATTTTTCTGGAAGAAACTTTCTCTAAGTTCTACTTTGTAATTACTGTTCTTTTGCCTTTTACACTTTGAGTTGAGAATCACCACGTTAGGATATATACGAATTCAAAATTTTAAATGAGTCAAATATTATTTAAAAAAAAATCCCCTTTGTTGGTTCTTAATGCGAGCATTAACATGTTATAAAAAATGAGTTAAAAATTTTAAAATAGGTCAAATTATCTCAGAAAATTCCTGTTCAGTGGTTCTTAATTTCAGAGCCAACATGTCATAAGATAAATGACTTGAAATGAGAGAAATATATATCTAGAATTATGTGATAGTTATCTGACATGAACATGATTAGTTAAATAACAATGATTATCTGTTGAAAATGACCGTGTTGATGAAAATGGACAAAGCACCATCCTACCTTGCAGATGGGTATACTGAAGCAACTTGCACCTTAAGTTTCGTACTATTGTACCTTGCAGATTGTTATATAAAACAAGGTTTTCCTAGGGAAATTTAGTTTCTTATTATTGTACCTTGCAGATGGATATATGACGAAACATGCACCTAAGAAAATTTAAAATTCTTATTAGAGTGTAAATTACACTACACTCCCGAGAATTTTCAGCGATTTGCAGTAAACCCTCAATTACTTCCAAAATCGCATTGAACCCCCAATAACTTTTGCAAGAAACCCCCAAGTTAACATTGTTACATCTGACATGGCACATGCAACTCACATGACTTAAAATGACCAAAATACACCTAAATTTTGAAGAAAGACCCTTTATGACCTTTTTTATATTTTCAACCCTAAAAACAGAAATCTCGTCTTTTGTCATTTGTTCTCTTGCCCGTGCCTAGGTTGGAGTCCAGGACCCTAATTTTTTTTTGCTGAAATTTTCCTTCAAAATGCCTTTTATGTTGTTTTTTTCCTAATTTATGGGGGTTATTTGCAAAACGCGAAAGCTTAGTAGGGGTTTTCTGCAATCCCAAAAGTTATTGGGGGTTTAGTGCGATTTTGAAAGTAAGTGGGTGTTTACTGCAAAATGCTGAAAGTTCTTGGGGGTTTAGTGTAATTTCCCTTCTTATTATCGTACAAGGAGAAAATGAACAATAAAAGTAATTAATTAATGGCGGCTTATGATTCTTCAATGAAATGAATTATATAAATGTTAGAGGGTGCTTGCCGTGCATAACAAAGAAAGATGGTTCTTTCTCTTTTATCTTGTTGAATAAATCCATGCATTCTTCTATGAAGGACACGGTTTCCCTGAAGTAATTTTTGTTTCCATGAGGCTTTCATGTTTGCAGGATTGTGCCTTTATTTCAGTCCCTTGTGTTGGTATTTCACTCTCTCCAGCATGAGTTGTAGTATTTCATAGATAGAGCTTTTTTAAGTTAGGATATATTGCAGCAAAACTGCCCTACATTGCAGTTCCTTTATTCTTTCCTTTGGCTATTACAGTTTTTAAGAAAGCAGAGTATCTCTTAGAGCTAGTGAATCCTTTAAATGTTATCGCTTTTTCCACATTCTACTTAGATGGAGGGTAATGACTGGAGCTTATTCTGAGTAGCTGTGGAGCAACTAGTATATATAGACTGCTATGAGGCTGGAAGGCCTCCTCAACAAGGATGGTTTTGTAGGAAAGGCATATTAAAAACATCTGGGAAATGTTGAAGAACTATTGTCAATATTTAGGGCAAACTGTTGGCCTTTTGAATCTTTGCATTGTGTTAAGTAACAGTTACTACAAAAAAGCCCAAGCTTATGGATTATGAGCTAACAATGAGTCACAAGCAATTCTACCATCCTAAACTAGATTTGTTTCCTGTGACTCTTCATGTTTGTCTTTCCTGACATCGTTAAAAGTATGTATACCTCTCTATTATCCTTGATAGCTTGAGAGCATGTTGGAGTTGGAGAACTTCTGAATAGTAACACACGATTGTTTGAGGATGTAGATGGGGCTTTTTGAGCCTCGTCTTCTCTTTATTCCTGTTAAGGAATATATTATAGAAATCTATGATATTAGGAATAATATATTTGGAATATATGATTGAGAGATATTAGGGATATGATTGAATATGATTTTATCTCATACCTATTTTGTAATATCCTCCTAACCTCTATTTGAGAGAATTTAGAGTTAGATAAATAACATAATCTTGGACTTTTTCTATTTTTCTACGTGGTATCAGAGCCAAGTTCTTGATCCTAGAGAGACCTCTTTCTTCTTCCTCTACATTTGTTTTCGGATTTTTTAAAGAAGGATCATTTGTTGTTGAATCCTTCAAGGAAGGATCATTTATTGTTGGATCCTAAAAAGAACTATTTATTGTTGGATCCTTAGAAAAAATCATTTGCTGTTGGATCCTTCAAGGAGGGATCATTTGTTGGTGGATCCTGAAAAGGATCATTTGTTATTGGATCCTAGAAGGATTATTTGATTGGTGGAACCCTAGAGGGGATTAGTTGATTTGAAGCCATCCAAGTGAAAAAATAAGAAGGTCAAGTTTACTTCGACGCATCGTCGTATATTAGAGTGTGCACTTTTTTGTAACAAGCTGGACATGTATGATATACATGCTCCACTTTGAGGGGGAGTATTAAGGAATATATTATAGAAATATATGATATTAGGAATATATGATTGAGAGATATTATGGATATGATTAGATATGATTTTATCTCATACTTATCTTGTAATATCCTTTTAATCTCTATTTAAGAGAGGTTAGAGTTAGATAAATAATATATAATCTTGGCCTTTCTCTACTTCTCTACAATTCCTAAGTTGCATGGAAACAGGTACGGGTGTGGGTACAGGACATGGCAAATTTGTAGAATGTTTTTATATTGAAATTAATAGTTTACATGAGATCCTTAATTGTTTTTCAATTCCTGTGTAATTATAATTGAAATTCATGTTACATTTAAAGTTTCTTTCATTATGTTTATTGTCAATTGGACTAGACACTCAAATAACCTTTCAAGATCGTAATTTTGAATTTGGGTATGGGCTAAAACAAACCCGACTCTAGTCTAACAAGTAACGAGTTTCAAAAAAATGATGCGAAGCGTATTGGCTAAAACAAACCCGACCCTAGTCTAACAAGAAACAAGTTTCAAAAACATGATGTGTCTTAAACTAATGTATGCATATCTCCAAGGAATGTCCATGAAGTTTGGATATAGGAACGTGTTGGGTATGTGTCCAGTATGGGTACGGTTTAACTATAGATGTACCTGGGTAACATAGCTTTATTCCAAATGCTCTTTTATTTTGTCTGTAAACTTCAGATCTCTTAGTTTAATTCCTGCAAATGCCATGATTACATTTTGTGAGATCAGAGAGACTATTGGCAAAACATTGAAATTGGAGATCACTAGTCTGATTTTCTGCTATGACATGACATAGCTCAGATGGCTAATTGGAAGGCCAAATTCTTGTGTGCATGATAAAATAACAATAGAGGAAAAAAAGCTAATAGGTTTGAAGAAATTCACTACTTTCGTTTGGTTTACTAGGCTGTAATAACTACTAACAGTATTTATAGAATGACTCACATTGAGAGTTTTCCTTCAGCTTGAGTTATTGCTTTTTCTTTCTTTTATTGTTGATGTTTGTGGCTGAGATATCAGTAAGGCATGTTCTTTCATTTTGGACATGTTACAAGTATGACTTTGCTCAACTTATTAAAGGGACATTTGTACAAACTGATAGTTTGTTGCCAATCCATTTTGCAGTTCTATCACATCATCTGGAATGTCAGACATTTTGTGCATTTATATCGTCGGTTCTTCATTTTGTATCTGCTCCTTTAGTTGCTATTGACTTTTAGTAGCTTTGTCAGCAAGTTATATGTTGTATTGGGCTTATGGCTGATATAGATTTTACAATTGCACCTTTATTTCGAAAAGTATGACCATTCATTGTTTAAAACCTAGTGCAGACTTTAAACCCGGTGAACCAGTGTTGGATTGGCCTACAAGAAAACGTGTAGCTTTGGGAACAGCTCGTGGGTTAGAATATCTTCATGAACATTGCAATCCCAAGATTATTCACCGTGATGTGAAAGCTGCAAATGTTTTGCTTGATGAAGATTTTGAAGCGGTAGTTGGTGACTTTGGCTTAGCGAAGTTGGTGGATGTAAGGAAAAGCTCGGTAACAACTCAAGTTCGTGGGACTATGGGTCACATAGCACCTGAGTATTTATCTACTGGGAAATCATCTGAAAGGACAGATGTTTTTGGTTTTGGGATTACGCTTCTCGAACTTGTTACAGGGCAACGTGCGATAGATTTTTCACGCTTGGAGGAGGAAGATGATGTGTTACTTCTTGATCACGTAAGATCATTCTCACCTATTTTTTGGTTGTCTTCTTTCTTGTGTAAGTAGGTGTTGGTTGGAATTTCAGTGGGTAAAGTGGTAAAAACAATTTCGCTGCAGAAATTTTTCTGTTCCAACCTATATTGGCAACTTCTTAATTTGTTGATTTTGTTCAGGTTATTTGCACCTAATTACCCCAAGTTTACTCTAGTTTTAACTTTGGTACCCCAAGTTTTTTTTTGCCCAAAAAGATCCCCCCATGTTTTGCCTTAATTTTTAACTTTGATGCCCAAGGTTTTCTTTTGCCCAAAAAGTACTCCAATGTTCAAGAAATTCTACCTTTGATACCCCAAACTTAAAATTTTAACTTGATACCCCAAACCTAAAAATAAATTTAACAAATATTTAAGTTACTGTATAAAAGTTAAATATTGTTGGGGTTTGAGTTTTTTCTTTTTTATTTTTTGGGAAAAAGTTATAGTGGCAACTTCTTAATTTGTTGTTTTTGCTCAGGTTATTTACACCTAAATACCCCAAAGTTATACTCTAGTTTTAACTTTGATACCCCAAAGTGCTTTTTTATCCAAAATAATACCCCAATGTTTACCTTGTTTTTAACTTTGATGCCCAATGTTTTCTTTTGCCCAAAAAGTACCCCAATGTTCAACAAAATTTAACTTTGATACCCCAAACTTAAAATTTTAACTTGATATCCCAAACTATAACAAAATTTTAAGTTACTATATCACAGTTAAATTTTGTTGAACTTTGAATTCCTTTTTTTTCTTTTTTCTTTTTTGAAAAAAGGAACTTTGGAGTGTCAATTTTAAAAAGGGGTAAACTTTGGGGTATTTAAGTGCAAATAACCCTTTTTCTTAAATTCAAAATTATGGTTTCCAGTTAAGTAAATATCTATTTTTCAAAAATAAAATTTGCATTCTACTTTTCCCTCAGTAGATGTAGTAACAGCTTAGCAGATAATTTTAGTAGGATAGTGCTGAAGAAGGGACTTAACTATTTGTGCTGTCAGAACACAAAGATATGCAAATATGTGGTATGATGAAAAATGTTATGTTAATGATTAGACAATAGAAGTGTTATAACAAGGCGATCCTTTGATTGAGTAATTGATGTTATCCACTCTTTTGATGTGGTGTTTTGTTAACTAGAAACAACTTTTTCTTCGAATCTGTCAGGGAATCAGCTTCATTTTCTTCTGAACGATAGTATTTGCATCTGAAGAAACTCTTTCACGTCATATTAAAATTCATTACCCTATTCCAATTCTACTAACAATACAACTTCTAATTGATCTTTTACTGATATATTATGTCTCATTCTTGCTTTCTGCTCCAATAGGTGAAGAAACTGGTAAGAGAGAAGCGCCTCGATGCCATCATCGATCGCAACCTGAACAAGAACTATGACATCGAAGAGGTAGAGAAAGTGATCCAAGTGGCTCTTCTTTGCACGCAGGCAACGCCAGAGGACCGGCCTTCGATGTCGGAGGTGGTGAGGATGTTGGAAGGGGAAGGGTTGGCGGAGCGATGGGAAGAGTGGCAGCAGGTTGAGGTCAACCGTCGCGAGGAATACGAGCGCCTCCATCGGAGATTCGATTGGGGGGATGACTCCATTTATAATCAAGACGCCATTGAATTATCTGGAGGAAGGTAACGAATCATCTGTAATGAAAGAGATTTCCACCAGTTTGTTCGCGTGATGTATCATATTGTTGTATGGACGTGTTATCACTGGCAAGCCTTTTTTAATTAGGAAATCCAGTAAATATGTCTTATTTCAAAGTTATATGTTGTTATTGTTATTATAACCTTTATCATTATTTTTTCTTTTGTGTTAATCGCTGATTGACCCCTTCTATTGTCACCTGATTGTGGATAGACCTGTTGGATAGGGAATTCCTAATCTATTTTGGTAACATGAGGTTATTAGGATTCCTAGTCTATTTTGGTAACATGAGGTTATTAGGATTCCTAGTCTATTTTGGTAACATGAGGTTATTAGGATTCCTAGTCTATTTTGGTAACATGAGGGATAGTGGATTCCTAATCTATTTTGGTAACATGAGGTTATTAGGATTCCTAATCTATTTTGGTAATAGGTTATTAGGATTCCTAATTTGATTTGGTTTTTGGTTTAGAATTCCTAATATGTTTATGGTTTTAGGATTTCTATATATATGGAACAATTGGAAGAAAGAATTTGGAGGAGAAGAAAAATTGGGGATATTTGGAGCACAGAAAAGAGGTATTTTCTGAGCTATTTGTTTAGGGTTTTGTTTGGAGAGATTAAGAGCTTGTTGGTGAGATTAGTTTGTTCCTTCGAGTGATTTGTAATCTCAGTTTGTACTCCTTCTCTATTAGTAAAAACATCTTCCCTTTTCTTGCCCCGTGTACGTAGGCAACTTGCCGAACCACGTAAAACTATTGTGTTTGGATTTGTGCCATGTTTTGATTTGTTTGGCTTTTATCTCGACGTTTGTTTGATTTGGTTCTCGAAGCACGCCCGTTTGGTTGTCACGCTTCCCCGACGCGCATAACAATTGGTATCAGAGTTCCAGATTTTAGATCTAGGGTTTTGTCTTGGTTGGAGGAGTAGATCAATTTGGAAGTTCGGCTAGGGCTTTTCGGCTAGGGCTTCGTTTGGTGAGAAATGTGGGATCTTTTTGGTAAAGACTCTATCTTTTTTAGTTTGGATCTATTCTTCGTTTATTCCGCATTGGTTTGTTGGCGCTTGGGCTATTTGGAGGAGTAGATCGCTTTGTAGGCTCTTCGAGGGCTTCGTTTGGAGATAAAGGTGAGATTTTTCCTATTTGTGGATCTCGTTGCCGTCGTGCGGGGTGAGATCGTTTGGAGACTCTTGTTAGGGTTTTATTTGGAGGTAAAATTCTCTCCTTTATCAGTTTGGATCTATTCTTCATTTGTTGGTGCTTTGAGATAGTTGGCCGAGATGGAAGGATTTGAGGCTGGGTTATTTGTTTATTGATACGGTGCATTGGATTATTGAGAAGTGCTCTTGAACTGCATATTGAAGTCCTTTTGAGCACGTTGGTATGAGCAAGGAGACCGATGTGGAGTTTGACACTTCTATTTAATGATTGAGGGTTCTTCTATTTGGTGTTCATTCAGGCATTTAGGGGCCTTCCAAGGAGGCATCATTGGAAGGTAAATTGGTATTTTGGTTTCCTATGTTAGAGATTGTACTAGGCATTTGTGGGTTGCAACTAAATCCTGTTGGTTTTGAAGTCCTAGTAGTCAACAACAGTTGAAGAAGTGTATTGGGAGTAAGGTGAAGGTACTTCATTCTGGTTGTAGAAGGAGGTACAAGAGGGACCTACTGTATTTGTGCCGAGCTCACGGCAATAGGAGACACTTCATTGGTGTGGAAACTTTGAGGCGACAAGGCGAGATGGCAAACTTGGGTAGCTGTTCCTTTCTGGAGGAGGATCGGCGTTTGATGTCGAGCATTGGCATTGGTGTGCAGGCTACGACATGTTTGGGCCGTCTCATGTATAGGTTACCGACTGCTGCATGTATAGATATGGGATCTGGTGGAGCTGCTTCAGATTTTGGGTTGTGTCGGATGTTTGGCTACCCAGCACTCGGTCACATCGTGGATGTGAGATTTGATCCGATAGCACATTTGGGATTCAGAGGCGTGTTTGATTATCAGGTATTGGCTTCTGACTTTGTTCTGAGCAGGCATGTCACGTTTGACTCTCGGCAGGTGGAGAGTGATGATCAGATCTTTGGGACATCGCAGCGGGTGGAGAGTGATGCTACTCCACATTGGGAGGAAACTCCAGATCATACTGCATCATTTAGGATTCCAACTGATGTGACACAGATTGGGAATCGTGTTGATTTGGATGCATATGATAGGTTGATTGATTCGAGTACAGCTGATGGATGTAGTCTGGATATGGCCATTGTTTCACCTCAGGTGGAGGTGTTTGGATCGCTTCAGTATGGGGCCGTTGGTGATGCTATCAGCCGCAGGTTGGATTGAGGGCCTTTGGAGGCTATTGGGTGAACTACGTGAAGGCTTGATTCCTTGGGCAAGAGGATACATAGGCAGTCTTTATGATGCAGCTGGGTGAACTACGTGAAGGCTTGATTCCTTGGGCAAGAGGATACATAGGCAGTCTTTATGATGCAGCCGCTTTGGTGAGTAGATACCGATGTTTGGGTGAGTGTTCGCACTCCCGTTTGGGTCTCGACTTGTTGTGGATTGAGTCCGTTGTTGTGGATCGTTTCACTTCGTACTGGACAAAACAAGTGAGGCATTTGGTTTGGTCGGTGTTGGCTCAGTTTTGAAAAAACTTCGCTGAGGTGGAGAATTGTTGGATAGTGGATTCCTAATCTATTTTGGTAACATGAGGTTATTAGGATTCCTAATCTATTTTGGTAATAGGTTATTAGGATTCCTAATTTGATTTGGTTTTTGGTTTAGAATTCCTAGTATGTTTATGATTTTAGGATTTCAATATATATGGAACAATTGGAAGAGAGAATTTGGAGGAGAAGAAAAATTGGGGATATTTGGAGCACAGAAAAGAGGTATTTTCTGAGCTATTTGTTTAGGGTTTTGTTTGGAGAGATTAAGAGCTTGTTGGTGAGATTAGTTTGTTCCTTCGAGTGATTTGTAATCTCAGTTTGTACTCTTTCTCTATTAGTAAAAACCACATCCCCTTTTTTGCCTCGTGGACGTAGGCAACTTACCGAACCACGTAAAACTATTGTGTTTGGATTTGTACCATGTTTTGATTTGTTTGGCCTTTATCTCGACGTTTGTTTGATTTGGTTCTCGAAGCACGCCCGTTTGGTTGTCACGCTTCCGCGACGCGCACAACAAGACCTCATGTAGTTCTACTTCTATTGTTGCAAATATAACGCCAGAGTGAAATTTATCTGACTCTTTTACCCTTGGAGAAAGATAAGATAACTTTTCTTTCTTTCTTTCTTCTTTTTTTTTTTTTGATAAATAAAGCTTCTGAGGGTAAGAGACTCGTTAAGGGGGTGTTTGTTTTTTTTTTTTTTTGGGATATAAGGTGGATTTCAAGTTTTGGGATGTAAAAAGTATTCTTTTTGAGTTTTGAGATTCCATAAACTTTGTTTGTTTCAAAATTAATTTTGGGATATTGAATCCCTAAATTATAAACAAATAATATATTTTTAGGATTTGTGAAATCCTCTCTTTTGTTTCAACCTTTGATAATCATATTTTTATTACAATTTTTTTATTACAATTTTATACCCTCATTATCTATTTTATATGAATAAATACAGCACTAATAATTGCTTTTATCTTTAATTGTAGGTTAATAAAAAATAAAATCCCAAAAATCCCATCTCTCAACAAAGACCCTTGAGTAAATGAAGAAATAAGAGAATTAATTTTTGAAAATCACATGTGTGCAAGGAACCGGATTTGGACTTGGATGCAAATAGTTAGAATAAAGTGGGCTTTTATGTAAAAGATTGCAAAATCAAACTTGATTGCTGCATGTTCAAAAGTGGACCGGAGTTGATTTTTGAAATTTAAAAGCATTGAAGACCAGCTGCTGGACAAAGGGACATTGGCTTTAATTCACATGAAGGGGCCGGTTACTTGGGCTTGCTTGGATTTTTGACTTCGAAAATCAAATGCTTTGATAATGCTTGAGTGGGCCGAAACCAAATGGAAATGATTTTTGAAAATCAAATGAGCTCTGGACCTTTGCTGCATGAATGAGTTGCTGGGCCGAAAATCATGAATGAGTTGCTGGGCCGAAAATCATGAATGAAAATTAATTTCTTACTCAAATGAAGACCGAATTTTCAGCTGAGCCGCTGCTTGTTGCTGCTTTCATTTTGAAAATCAATTTAATGAAGATTGGGCCTTGGAAAATCAAATGAAGATTGGAAAATCAATTCAAAGGTGGAGATTGTTACTTGGGGCTCAAGACAAATCTAATGGCTCATATTCATTAAAGATTACTATAAATAAGGGTAGAGAGTGAGGGGTTAAGGGTGTGAAAATTTTTATAACCCCTTTTGGAGAGGAGGGCTACTCTTAATTGAGAAGGCCTTCCAAAAATTGTAACTTTAGTTGCAATTAATAAAAATAATTTTTTCCTCTTTAAATTTGTTCTTTCTCCTCTTGTTGAATGATGAGGATGGAGATGAAGAGCAATTTGAAGGTTTGCATTTCTTTTCTCTTTTATTTCTTTTTAGTAATTTCTTTAATGCTTGTAGTTAGATTTTATTTTCTTGTTTAAATAGCTAAGAGGCTAGAACTCTCTTGCTTTAGATTTATAGAACCCTCTTGCCTTAGATTTATTTCATGCTTATAGAGTAGATTTATTTTCTTGCATTTAATTCTTACAATTTTATTTTGTAATTAGATTTTATAATTTATTTTGTAGTTAGATTTTAATTTCTTATACTATTCACCTTGAGGCTAGAACCCTCTTGTGTATAGTTTTTCTTTTTTTGTTTATTTTTATTTTGTTTGATTCACATTTAGGCTAGAACCTTCTAGGGAATCATCATTTTCTAAGAAGTGGGTTCAATTGTAGATTACCCATATCTATAATTGAATCCACTAGATTTTTGTTCTTCATTCTTGATTTTTTTTATTTTTGTTTCTTGATTTTATTCATTTTTCCTTCTCAC